ACTTGAACCCGCGACCTTCCGGCTTGTAGCATAGTACCTCAACCAACTACGCTACAGCGTGCCCCCATATTACAATGTATTTCCTAAATTTTTGTCAGGAAAAGGATGAACACAGATTGCGTGGTTCAAGCTGACTCTCTGCTCCACTACCTTAAATAAAAATTCCTTTCTTGGATGTGCATTACCCAATCAGTATGCATACGTAGAGAATATTTTCTCCCAAAGACGATATGATCCTATACCACTACAGCTGAAACGCACAGCAATTTGTTCATTTGCTAAAATAGCGTGTGTACGCTCGTGGTACGTCCGTTAAGACGACAAATGGTAAACACGCAGTATATAAACCTACCTTAACGACATATTAATGGTGAGGACTGAACACTTCGTTCTGTATATCAACAACTTAATTTCTTTCCATCAGGAAAATCACTAAAATTGTTCTTATAAATTCGTAAGGACTAACACACACATACTATTAATACACTCATTCTCACTTGCTTGCAAAATTTTATTTTCATACGTTTTGTCAACGTAATACTGCTTCTCTAGATGTCACAGAATTTCGCACCTTTTAGTTTGCTTCTTTTTTTTAATTTAAAGTATTGAAAACTCCCGCCCTTAAATCCCACAGGCGCCACCTCGCAAATTGATTACCGTGGATTGATTCGGAGATTGGGAGCGTAGACTTTACAAGAATTCTCCGATTTCACTGCCATCTGTAATAGTGACCAAAATCATTCTTGGTAGTAGTGCCGGCGTCGGTAGCTTAGCTCGCGCTGCGCCTACTTTCTGTCTCTTAGTACTCGAGCAGAAGGTTGTACTTGAAACTTTGGCAAAAGGGACCCTTTGAGCTGAGCTAATCGAACATAACGTAACAAAACCAACAGTATATAACGCTGTGTAACCCAGTACAAGATCACCGACGTTTCGGAGGATCATAATGCGTCCGTATTCTGGGTCGAAGGGTAAGCCAAATACGTAAGTAGACAGTACAAATAAAGCGGCAAGTAAAGTCTTACTTGTCGTTCGGCTTACTCTTCAACCCTGAAGATGGAAGTATTAAATTTGCACGAAAAGTCAGTGAACTTCTACTAGATTACACAGCGTTACATACCACTGCTACGAGAACTTCAAATACAACAACAAACTATGACTCAGACTGAGGCTTTTTGGGTCATGACAACCCGTAGTCCAGTAAGAGGTTACGACCTTCGGACACGATCTGCTGCCTCCATGTGGACTTTCAACGTGAAGATCGAGGAGGCCGGATCATCAGAAATGTTGGTAGGACCTAGTAGACCCAGGAAACTAGAATCTAAATCTCCATCGCCGTCAAACCTTCAATGTTACTGCGACATACAGTAGTACAGGTGTAGCAAAACGTCCCGTGTCCCCAAATCAGTTTCGGTAATCTTCTTGTGGGTTGTTTACGACGTTCTCATAAGTTGGACTATGTAGAATGAATGGCACGTAGGCAGACAAATACAGTCTGATCATAAGATTCAAGAAGTTCAAGAGCCTCCAGGCGCCCTACAGACAGTTAATGCATGGATCGCCCTCAGTCGTACAGCATGCAGCCTGTCGCTATACCGACTGAGCTATCAATCCAGTTTAAAATGTACAAATATTACATTATCTTTGATCAAAGCTCAAAATTAATTTTGTTTTTGTTCTTGTAGTTTAATGGCGCTCTGCATACGAGAGCTGTGTGATGTTGAGTATAAATTATTTTATTTATAAGTTGAATAATTTTGGTGTTTCTGCAAAATTATTAGGAGCTGCATAAGAAATTCCCGAGTTCCCGAGAGATCGATCATCATTCTTATTGATCTTATTGATATCCAAAATGGCAGTTCGTTCAGTGGTTAAGGTTGATGACACTCAAGTTTTCAATGATAGTAAAACAAGTGAGGTAACGAGTGCTTGTTGTCATAAATTTAAAATAGAACTAGGATCAGCACGAAAAATTATTGAACTGCTATAAGAAGAGATAAACACGCCCAATCGTATCGTAAGTACAGACTCATGTTACTTCCACAGTTCGAACTCAAAATAAAAAAAAAGGGGGGGGGGGCGGTTAAGGAAACTGCGTTCTTGTGTTCATGAATCCCCTCTGGAACATCTGGTTAACCTGACTTAGGGTTTTTCGTGGGTTTTTCCCAGTACCACCAGGCAAATGTTGATTGAACTTAGTATCCCCAATCAGGTGACAAGCACCAAGACTTTTGAATACATTATTTATTAATCATCAGCCATTTGATACTATATAGTTTCCGCTACGAAGTGTGTTGTGAAATCATGAAAGGAATTGTGGTGCAGGAGCAGTTTTGAATGTTATTAATAATCGGAGACAACTTTCAGCATCAGAAGAGATACTGTCCAACATCAAGATTGAGCCCAGTGACAGCAAACTGGAGCTTCAGATAGCCCTCAAGAAAGCACGGAGACTGAAGCTGCAGGAGGCTGTTACAGAATCAAAGAACAGTGTAGAAAAGGTACATCACATCGGCAGATTTCCTTTTTAATTGTTCTCACTAATGTTTGGCTGTACTAGGGATCATTTCTCTTGTTCAGTCAAGGCCATTTTCCCCTTGCCTGCCACTCTGCTTTTTCTTCCCAAGACAAGAGAGGAACAGCCCTATGGATAGGTGGTGGGAGGTGATGAAATTGTCCCTAGCTACAGAATCCTTTGCCATGTTTAGTTCCTACACAGTGTCTCCATATGTTCCAGTTATAAAATGTTGCACAGAACTTTGTAGTAAAGTTCGTTATGATGTTTCCTCCCTGGTTACTGTACAAAACCATTGTACCCTAGAGAAACTATATTGTAATTTAACCTGAGGGCTATTAAATTGTTTGTCTCACAGTTGTGGTGGGCCTCAAGCCAGTCATATCTTGACATTTAAGTAATATCATCATCCTTTCATACTGTGCTACAAACTGAAAGTTCATGGGTTCGATTCCCAGTGAGGTAATTGGATTTTTAGATTGACTGAATCTTTCCAGTCACACTATGACGCTGGGGTCAACTCAGCCTCTAACAGAAATGAGTACCAGGAATATTCTTGGGGGGGGTAAAGGGTGGCTGGTATGTAAGGCTGACATCCTCACTGTCACCTGTGAGCTTATTGTCGAGAAAGTATGGGAGTATCAATGTCTCGCACCCCTATGGGCCTCCATGGCCTGTTACTATACTATCATCCTTTCTTGTGCTTGGTTATTGAGACCTGTTATGGCCTCCTGTCAAATAGGCACCAGGGGCTGTTTCCCCGAGTGTGGGAGTGGCATGGAGCTGGCCACTTGCCTCCATCTAGAGCATAACTAATTAAGCCTAGGGACAACTTTGCATTTATGGATACTTCAAAACAGAGTGCTGCATAGCTACATAGTTTAACTGTTTATGATTTGTGATGTTTGTAGGTGGCAGAGTCAGTACTGGGGAGAAACACGGAAGGAAACACGGAAGGTGGTTCCATTGTGCTGAATGCTACAGCAGAATTCTGCCGTACGTTGGATGACATCCCCATTTATGGTCTGGCTGGCAACAGGGATGAGGATGCTCAGGAACTACTTGTGAGTGCAATATAACCATCCGCAGATAGGTGTACACTTGGCAAGGCACTTTGATTTAGCATGTGTGAAGACTAGATGCAGTCCATTGCCCATCTACAGTTATTTACTGCAGCTGCAACAGAATTAGAATATATTTTAATTATAGTTGAATTCCATGCTAATGGATATATAAATTACTGAACTGAAAACATCCAACAGAAATCCTAGAAATGAAAGCACTCGTTATACAATAAGAATGTGATAGTTAAGATGGTAGAACCTTTCTTTTTCTTCTTCTTCCTGACAAGTGGTACCATCTGGAATAAAATGCCGTGTAGTGATAAGGTCCATACGCATTTTGAAGGAATGTCAGTGGACTTACAGGATGTTACTTCCCAGAAGATGGTGCCTTTTGTAATCTCCTCTACAAGAATCTCAAATCCAGTCTTCTTTTCCCCCATCTTTTATTTCTTTTTTCTCCCTGTGCCATGTGCATGATACAAGGGTAGAAAAGATGCTACTAGGAATTATATATGAAATTGAAATAGGGATGAATAAATAGCTCAGATCATGACTAAATGAAAAACCAGTAGTTCTTGTAATTTTATTCATTGCAAAGTGAATTGAATGTTAATTGTCACAGTATTCTCACTGCAAACTCAGAATTAGTTTGGCAGGTGTACATCGCTTGGCAGAATGAGAGTATGTTTCTAATAGATCTGTAACTTTAAAGCATACTGTGACATTAAAAAGATATTTTGGCAAAGAAGTTTCAAGATGATCAGTATAGTCAGAAGAATTCTTTCTTCTGGGGTATCATCCGAATTTCCGAGGGAAGACAGACCACATGGCATTATATCCCAGATGACAGAAGCCTTCAAAGCCACTGCTGTCAGAAGCTGAAATCCTACACAGTATAGTCAGCACTTTACAGTGCAGTAATTTTTTATACAGTGGTTGGTGGGTAAGCAGTCCAGATTTCAGTCTGTCTCAAGGTAATTTTGAATTGGTAATTTTTGGACTGCACATTTGTGTTCTGCTAATCTCATACAACATTTATGTTACAGGACTTTGAGAGGGAAATGACTGAAGAGAAGAAACATCAGGAAGAAGAAGGCAAACGTGGAGCTTGGAATGAAGTTGAGATTGGTGAGTCATTAGCAGATTCTTTATGTACAGCATAGGCCTATTCAAATTGAGAGATATTGACACTTTAGTATTGGTTTTAATTGTGCGTTTATATTTTAAGTATTACATAAATGGTGTACCATATTTAATCATATACTGCAGTTTTATTAGGGGTTTTAGTAGAAACACACCAATCATTACTGCTTAATATTAGTAGCAGTAGGATAGTTGGTTGAGGCACTATGCTACAAGTTGGAAGGTCATGGGTTCAAGTCCCAACTAGGTCATTAATTTTTTTCAGTTGACCTAATCCTTCCGGCTGCACTATGGCCCTGGAGTCAACTCAGCCTCTTAACAGAAATGAGTACCAGGAATTTTCGTGGGGGGTAAAGTGCGGCCGGTGCGTAAGGCTGACAACCTCACTGCCATCGATGAGCCGATTGTCTAGAAAATTTGGGAGCCTTAATGTCTCACAACCCTATGGACCTCCACGGTCTGT